CATCCCCCCGTGCCCACCCTCCGCGGGGCTCTGCGGGCCCGGCCGGGCCTTTGCACATCCCCGTGTGCGTGTCGGTGTCGGCGATGGCTGCTCTGAATCGTTCTGCAGCGGCTCTGGGTCCTGACAGGGCAATAACGAGGCTGCGGGGCAGCAGGGACCCGCTGGGGTGACAGCAGCGTCCCCGGGGAGTGTGTGGGGCAATCAGAGATTCTCTCTGGGATCTGGTGGGGCAGTAGCAGAGCTGCACAGGAGCCTGCTGGGTTATAGTAGGATGTCTTAGAAGGATCTGTTGGAGCAATGTTGGATATTCGCAGGGCCCTAGTGGGGTGATGCAGGTTCCCTTAGGACAGGTCCTGTAGGACCTGGGCAGGAGGGTCCTCGCAGGGCCCGGCGCGACAGCGCTGGATGCTCGCAGGGACCCGAGCGCGGTGTCCTTGAGGGGAGCCTCTGTCCGTGGTGCTGACCGGAGCCTCTGTCCGTGGTGCTGACCGGAGCCTCTGTCCGTGGTGCTGACCGGAGCCTCTGTCCCCGGTGCTGACCGGAGCCTCTGTCCCCGGTGTTGACCCCAGCAGGGCCAGGGTCCCTGCAGATCCCACGTTCGGGGTGTCCCGTGGCCTCTGGTCTGGCTGACACGGAGCCCTCGGTAGCTGCAAGCCCGGCTGTCCCAGAGCTCACCCCCAATCCTGTTTGATCCAGGAGCCAGGGATCTCCCAGCCGGTCCCACCACCAAGAGGGTGACTGACAGCTCTGCCCGTCTCTTAAGGCCCTCATCCCTCTTCACTACCACGTGGAGATAGTAAACTCTCCAACAGGCTGGACAAGCTCTGTGTTCCTGGCAGTTTCCATCCTGTTCACCCCAGCATCCTCATGGTCTGTGCAATGTTTTGGTGACAGGCTCTTAGACCCCGGCTTTCTTCTCTCTCCCTGCGTCAGATCCGCCCCCCAGCACTGCATCATCGCTTGCCGTGGGTGACAAACCCCTCCTGAACAGAGTGACTTCTCTGGCAGTGACGTAGACAATGAAATGTGCACCTGGAGTGCATTTGGGAGACTGAAGGACTTTGACCTTTGCTTTTGTCAGGTTTTGTCCCACTGGGCTGGCAGCTGGCACTTCCCCATGAAAGAGAAAAGGGGGCTGTGGCAGAGGGGGGCTGCAAATCTGGGCCCTTTCTGTGGGACCCCCGAGCGAGGATGGTTGTACCGAGTGCTGAACAATCCTGATGACGATGGTGTGCTTGGCCCAGTCATGCAATCTGCAAACAGTGACATGACAGGGAGAAGGGAAAAGGACAAATCTCTGCTCTCCCGCTGCTTTGGGTTGGCCAAAGAGCCTATGGAGGTGTTCCTGGAGCTGCTGGAACATCGGGGAGGGTCTGTGCTGACACCTCCAAGACAGCTTTGTGTTTGTCTGTCCATCCCTGTCTCCGGGATGGGAGGGCCTGGGAATGCTCTGGGTGCCCCTGAACTCAGCAGCTGTGACCTCCAGGGGCTGTGGGAGCTGCACTTTGGACATCAGAGCAATGCGGGCTCAATCCTGGGCTGCAGGGACTGCGGGGCTGCCTGGCTGCAGGCTGGGGCTTTCCTGTGCCACAGGACAGGACAGGACAGCTGCCAGCACTGCCCCAGGGACGGATATTGCACCCACTGCCCTTCCCAGCCCACCTCCTCCACACTGGGGTCTTTCCCCAAGCACAGTTCCACACCTGGGGGTGGTAGGAACACCCAAATTCTTGCCTGCTCATTTCTCCGGAGAGAAATGCCTGCCTGGGTTCCCCCCACCGCTGCCCGGATCCTCCTGTGCCCAGAGGCTCGAATCTCTGTCTGTCTTTCTATCTGAAGTGACTTCTGAGCTCACTCAAAAGTTCGGGATTTCTGTGCTCTGGACAGGCAGCCTGAGCACCGCGGGCAGGGGGGGCCTGGCTCAGCTTCCCAAGGCAGGAGTGGGAAATCTGCTGAACCCACTGAGCCTCCCTGAGCCCGGCCTCGGGGCCCAGCCCAGCTCTGAGCTGGTTGGACACGGTGCCAAAACCTCCTGCTGGCTGCACGTGAGTCCGGTGGCTTGTCAGCATCCGTGTCCTCCTGTGACTGTCCCTTGGGCTCCCGAGCCCCGGGGCTGCCCCTCCGCCACCGCCTCCCCTCTCCCTGGGATCCTCCAGCGAGCCCAGCAGCTCTGGCCGCGGCCCCTCCGTGCCGCCGGTGCCTGTTTGGATCCGTGGCTGTGGGAGACACCCCGGTGCACGTTCTGTTTACTTCCCTAATTGCTGCCAAGTAGCGAGCCGCTGGTTTCGAGTTTCTCTCTTCTCTCCCCTCCCCTTCTGCTGCTTTCAAGCGAGTTCAACACATGTCCAAGCATCGGCGGCCCAGCTCCGCTGTCGGGCAGCGTGAGCGGAGGCAGCAGCGGCTGCATCCAAGCCGGGAGCGGCGCCAGACTGTCTGCACAGGGCTGGGCTCGTCCCCCGAGGCTGGATCTCGCCGGGACGCTGCCACCGAGCCGGGCTGTCTGCTGGCACCTCCGCTCGCAGCACGGCAGATGCTGCGGCAGCTCCCACCAGCCCCGTCCCACGGTCCCGCTGTCCTGGGAACGCTGTCCTCGGGAGATGCCATGTGCCTCGCCATCCCGTGGGTTTTCCAGATGTGCCACCGGCACCTGACTGAGCTTCTGAGATCTTTTTTGGGGTGGCTGCTCCCTCCCTGGCTGCTCCAGGGAAGCTGGATGAGGCCAGCGATGCTGTGAGGGGGAGAGGGATGCATGGGGGCAGCAGGGGATCCCAGGCTGCAATGGAGCACCCTCAGGGACCACGGAGCTTGGCCATGAGAGGGATGCTCTTCCCTCGGTGCCCCTCCACCAGGGCTTGACTTTCCCCATCCCAAATCAAGCAGCTGTAATAATTCCCTTGCTTTTATCTTGGGTCTGGGAGGAGCTGGCAGGCAAGGCAGTCCTCAGTTTCTGTCACTGATGGATGCATGTGCCAACCACCCCTCAGGGCTTCAGGGCCAGGTCCCTGTCCCCAGCTCCAAGCACTGGAAGCTGCATTCCCATGCTCCAGCTCCGTGTCCCCCAGGGCTTGCCAGGATCAGCTTTTTGGCAGGGTTTGGTGCGGCACTGGCACACAGGGTGCGGGCAGGGCAGGCAGCAGTCGGGCAGGGCCCTGTGCCAGGCCCTGGCTGGGCAGGGGGAGGGGGCTGAGCCCCCATCAATAATTCACCTCCATATTTATAGAGGGAAATGCGTTGAATAATGGATGGCGGGTGCGGCAGGGCCGGTGGGAAGCCGGCCTTGCTGCCACTGCAATATTTATTGGCCCGGATTGCCGGGTGCTGCCCGCCTGCCTCGAGGCTCCGCGAGGATCAGCGGCGCTACGGCTGGCACAGACCGGCTGCTGAGTGCTCGGCTGGCACGATGGACACAGGCAGCTCGCTCCTCTGCCTCTTCCCCCTCCCCTCCACAAAAATGCACCAAGGGCTGGAGCCCCTCTGCTCTGGAGCCAGGCTGGGAGAGCTGGGGGTGCTCACCTGGAGAGGAGAAGGCTCCAGGGACACCTCAGAGCCCTTTCCAGGGCCTAAAGGGGCTCCAGGAGAGCTGCAGAGGGACTTGGGACAAGGCATGGAGGGACAGGACACAGGGAATGGCTTCCCAGTGCCAGAGGGCAGTGATGGATGGGATATTGGGAAGGAATTGTTCCCTGGGAGGGTGGGCAGGCCCTGGCACAGGGTGCCCAGAGCAGCTGTGGCTGCCCCTGGATCCCTGCAAGTGTCCAAGGCCAGGCTGGACAGGCCTTGGAGCAGCCTGGGATAGGTGTCCCTGCCCATGGCATGGATGTGGAATGAGATGGGTTTTGAAGTCCCTTCTGATCCAAAGCAGTCTGAGGATCCTTCTTCATCTCAGGTTAGCCATGCTGGATTCTAGGCTCAGAGAGGGATGTGAATGTCCAGGGACAAATCTCCATCCATCCCTCATCACAGGGGGATGCCAGGGCCATGCAGCTTCTGGGAGGACCCTGCCCTGTGTCCCAGACATGTCCCCTCCGTGGCTGTGCCCAGCAGCCCTGCACTGCCTGGGCCTGAGGGACCCCCAGCATCTTCCCCCTCACTCGTGCCACCACCTCCCCCAGCCGTGGCCACCCTCCACAGCAGCACCCTAGCCCCTCATCCCACACCCCTGTGTTACAGAGAGACCTGTGGAAGATGTCGAACCCGAGAAACGGCGACACCAAGCCCCCATGTTTGCCCCGCAATGGACTGGTGAAGATCCCCACGCAACCCAACGGCCTCGGCTCCGCCAGCATCACCAAAGGCACCCCTGCCGTGAAAAACCGCCTGTGCCAGCCTTCCTCCGTGCCTGCCATCCTCAGCCCGGCCTTAGCCCACCGCAGTGACCTGCCCATCCCCAGCCTGGCCTCCCCGCTCTCCTTGGCCACTCTGGCCAGCGTCTCCTCCCCTCCTGGCGCTTCCTTGGTGGGACTGAACACGAGCGAAGGCTCGGAGCAGCCCTCTCCGGAGCGGCTGCCAGGCTCGCCCTCGGAAAGGCAGCTGGCGGTGGACGAGAAGATCCTTAACCGCTTGTTCTGGTACTTTTCGGCGTGCGAGAAGTGCGTGCTGGCTCAGGTGTGCAAGGCATGGCGGCGGGTGCTCTACCAGCCCAAGTTCTGGGTGGGCTTGACGCCCGTCCTGCACACCAAAGAGCTCTACAACATCCTGCCCGGTGGAGAGAAGGAGTTCGTCAGCCTGCAGGGCTTCGCCGTCCGCGGCTTCGACGGCTTCTGCCTCGTGGGCGTCTCTGACCTGGACATTTGTGAGTTCATTGACAACTACCCCCTCTCCAAGAAGGGGGTCAAGTCCATGAGCCTTAAGAGGTCGACCATCACAGATGCGGGGTTGGAGGTAGGTGACGCTGCTGAGGTGACCGGAGTGGCTGAGATGTCCTGGTAGCCTTGGGGACAGCCACGTGGGCAGAGCTTTCTCTGGTGGCAGGGAAGGAGCAGACAGGTGGCACAGCCATCCCACGGGTGCTGCCTGTGGTCTGGGCAGTGGGATGGGTGCAGCCTGTGCAGGGTCACGAGGCTGTTTGGGCTTCACCCCTGCTGCCTGTGGAAGGCAGAGCCAGGTGAGGTGGCCGTGCTGCTGGGCTGTGATGTGGCAGTGGGTGACAAGCAGGGCTCTGGGAATGGGACGTTCCTCCTTGGCTGGTTGCTCCCCAACAAGGGAGTCGCCCAAGCAAGGGGCTGAGGGTCAGACAGAGATGGGGCAACTCAGGGGTCTAGGAAAGGTCCCCACCGAGATCCTTGCCCTGCACCATGGCCAAACACTGCAGCAGCTGCTCTGTGGGCACACCTCACCTCACAGCTCCTGTGCTGGGAGCGGGCATCAATGCCAACCCTGCCAGCAGCACCTGGGACAGTGCTGGGGCTGCACCCAGGGGTCCCTGCCTGTCCCCTCCTGTTCCCCACTGATGCTGGCATGTCCTAAGGCAGGCATTGAGCCCATGCCAGGGAGGTCCCAGGGAGAAGACTGGACCCAGGCAAGACTGGGAGCAGTGGGAAGAGCCCCAGAGGGCTCAGAGGGAGTGGGGATGCACAAGGGTGGGTGGCAGTGCCCAGCATGGCCTGACCCCCCTGCCCCTCGGCAGGTGATGCTGGAGCAGATGCAGGGCGTGGTGCGGCTGGAGCTGTCGGGCTGCAACGACTTCACAGAGGCCGGGCTGTGGTCCAGCCTCAACGCCCGCATCACGGCGCTGAGCGTCAGTGACTGCATCAACGTGGCCGATGATGCCATCGCCGCCATCTCGCAGCTCCTGCCCAACCTCACCGAGCTCAACCTGCAAGCCTACCACGTGACGGACACGGCGCTCGCCTACTTCACCGCCAAGCAGGGCTACACCACCCACACCCTGCGCCTCAACTCCTGCTGGGAGATCACCAACCACGGCGTGGTCAACATGGTCCACAGCCTGCCCAACCTGAGCGTCCTCAGCCTCTCGGGCTGCTCCAAGGTGACCGATGACGGTGTGGAGCTGGTGGCCGAGAACCTGCGGAAGCTGCGCAGCCTCGACCTGTCCTGGTGCCCCCGCATCACCGACATGGCCCTGGAGTACATCGCCTGCGACCTGCACAAGCTGGAGGAGCTGGTGCTTGACAGGTAAAGGGCTGTGCTGAGCCGTGCTGTGCCATGCCAAGCCATGCCATGCCGTGTTGAGCCGTGCCATGCCATGCTAAGCTGTGCCGAGCCATGCCGAGTGATGCCATACCGTGCTGAGCCATGCCATGCCGTGCATGCCATGCCAGGCTGTGCTGAGCTGTGCTGTGCCATGTCACCCCATGCCAAACCATGCCATGCCAAGCCATGCCATGCTGAGCCACGCTGGAAGCAAAGGGTGCAGCATGGGGGCCATGGTTTGGGGACACCCATGGGTGACCAGCTGGCCCTGACACCCCGTGTCCTGGCAGGTGCGTGCGGATCACCGACACCGGCCTCAGCTACCTGTCCACCATGTCATCCCTGCGGAGCCTCTACCTGCGCTGGTGCTGCCAGGTAGGTGTGGAACACGGCTGTGCCCGTCCTGGCTCAGCACGGCAGAGAGGGCATGGTGGCACCTCCCTGGGGTTGGGCCATGAGCTCAGGGTGGGCTCCTGGGGCTGGCTGAAGACCCCAAGACTCAGTGCCAGGAAGCAGAGAGCTCCTGTGAGCTTAGCAGGACTCAGCCCTAGCACCCTGACCCTGCATCCTTGTCCCAGCACCAGTATCCCCAGAGCCAGTGCCCTGCTGCAGCACCAGGCTCCCTGCCCTGGCTCCCCGCTCCCTGTTGCACAACCCAGACCCAGTACCCCGGCCCTGCACCCAGAATCCTGCCCCAGCATCCTGCTGCAACATCCCACATCCTGCTCAGACTCCCCTCCCCAGCACCCAGCTCCCTGCACCCTGTCCCATCCCAGTTCCCTGCCCCGGCACCCAGAGCCAGCTCACTGCCCCAGCATCCTGCACCCTGCTTCAGGTTCCCAGCCCTGGCACCCAGTTCCCTACCCCAGCTCAGCAATGCTGAGCCCTGGTGCTGTGGTTGTCCCCAGTGTCACCCCTCATCCCCATCCCATCTTTTCCAGGTGCAGGATTTTGGCCTGAAGCACCTCCTGGGCATGGGCAGCCTGCGCCTCCTCTCACTGGCTGGTGAGACCCTCACCCTTCTACCCACGGACCAGAGACCCCAGGGGCTGGGGAGGGACAGGGCATGGGGACAGAGAGAGCCCTGGGGACAGCCTGGGGACAGCCTGGGGACAGCCTGGGGACAGCCAGCATCCCCCCCAAGCCCGCAGGCACCTGCACCCAGCCCAGTTGTGGTGAAAGATCCACAGCTGGATTCTTGGGGTGCTGTGGTTTTTGGGAGCTCTGCTTTGGGGATTCAAGTTTTCTGGGGTGTGGGTTTTTGAGGAGCTGTTCTGAGGGGCACTCTTTTTTGGGGTGCTTTTTTGGGGGGAGAATGCTGGTGCTTTGATATGCTGGGTTTTTAGGCTGACCTTGGAGTGCTGTGGTGTTTTGGGTGTTGTTTTTTGGGGTGCTGGTGTTTTGGAGCACTATTCTTTAGCATGCTGGTTTTCTGGGTTCTGCTGGGGTTTTTTTGGTGCTAATTTGGATAGTCTTGGTATTTTGGGATGCTGGTGCTTTAAGGTACTGGTTTTTGTGTGCCTTTTTGAGCGCTGGATTTTTTGGATGCTGATATTTTGGGTGATTTCTTTTGAGACTTGGGGGTTTGGGAGTACTTTTTTTTTAAGTACACTGGGGTTTTTTGCGTTCTGTCTTTTGGGTGTGGTGAGTTTTGAGGTGCTGGGATTTTGAGGTCCTGATCCTTTGGTCCTGTCTGGGGGGATTTTGGTGTTTTGGGATCCAGTGCCTTTGAGATGCTATTTTTTGGGACAGTATTTTTTTGGGAGCGTTGGTGCTCTGGGTTGAGAGTGTACCCTGTGTCCTTGCAGGCTGCCCCTTGCTGACCACCACGGGGCTGTCGGGACTGGTGCAGCTGCAGGAGCTGGAGGAGCTGGAACTCACCAACTGCCCCGGGGCCACCCCGGAGCTCTTCAAGTACTTCTCCCAGCACCTGCCGTGCTGCATGGTGATCGAGTAGCGCCGGACCCGGCCGCCCGCTCCCGCGCCCACCCCGGCCACCATCGCCCACCCCATCTCCCTCCGGCTGCTGGGGGATTCCAGAGACGCCCCCGATTCCAGTCGAGCCCGGACATCCCCCGCATCGACGCCCCCGAAGGACTCGGGGCTCCGGGGGGAGATGGGGGAAGGCGTCGCCCCTGGCCGGAGCTCCCCCGGGTACCGTGTAAATTCCCCCCACGCCGCCGCCATCGCCCGTGCTCCTCCCGGTGTCCTGCCAATCCCTTCCGGACAGACGAATGGACATCATGGAAGCCCAAAGTGGGAAGGCGACGCTGTGTGACCCCCCCGGCCGCATCCTGCTCCCCCCGCCCCGGTGCCGAGTGGGCACACGGCCCCGCCGACAAGGATGCTCCTGGGGACCAAAGGATGCTCCCAGGGATAGGCGAGAGGAGGATGCTTATTTTTGGGTGGCGGCGGAGGCTGGATGGGTCCCCTCACGCCCCCGGAGCGCGTCACCGAGCTC